CTAAAACACCATGCAAGACAGAATGAAGTACAAACTCACAGGTGAATAGATGGAGAGCTTAGCCCCTTCAGCATAGTTGACGTATCGGATTAGATCTTTATATTTATAAAATTGTTGTCCGGTATCTGAACATAGATAGTACTGTAGTAGCCAAACATTTAGATAAATGTGTCAATAAAACTACCTGGAAAAGTTGTTAATTTTATAGACATTTAATCTAAGAAGATCAATATTATATTTTGTTAGCAAAACTTCTTGTTGTTTCCTTGAGCCAAGGGAAAAAATATTTGGGCAATAGTCTAATAGACAAACATTTCATATCCAACAAATACAAGATCAGAAGATTGTTGAAATGATGTTATGCCTTTTATCTATGGTGTACAAGCTCAAGCACAAAAATAGAGAAGTCCAGAAGAACTTGAATCCACATTGAAGCATCTAACAAACTTTTCATTTCCATGAAGGCCAACAAATTGGAAGTGCATCACCCATAATGGAGAATTAACCATTATTTTTGCTGATCATCTTTTAAATTTTTGGGATTTGACTGAATAGCTAGCACTCATGATAAGTAAAGAACATATCACCTCAAAGATACATGGCCAGATGGATATTTTCAGATACCTATAAATTCAAATGTTAATCTACTTCTATTTAAAAAGTAACTGGAATACGCAACTTAAGTGTGAAGGAGATTGCGAGTGATGAAGGAATCATATTACTCTCTCTGTTCCACATTCAATTTTAAGAAACACAGCTCTGAAAGATCAAATTAAACTCTTTCATGTTATACTCGTATTGGAAAATAGTAACTCATGAAGGTTAAATTTAAATGCACTTTGAATACTCAGGACAACATAGAATGGAAACATTGTAAAGGTTGTTTGTTAACTTTTGATTATAAGGCATCAGAGAATATCAGTCTCCAAATATAGAGCTGTCTAAATCCATTGAATTATCTTAAATTCAAAGATTCCTCGAATGCAAAAGACGTTATTATAAGGATCCTGAGCAAGACACCTACGATTACCTTCATGATGCATAGGATTTATTTGACACCAAATTTAAGAGTGCCACAAGAGACATGAAAGGATGGAATCCTTACTTTTAATTTTTAATCCATCAGCAAATATTATGAAGGCTGTACCAGCCTGATCATATCATCTTTCACAGGAGCAAAAACTAAGATGACAAAAAAAAATTTAAACACCTAGCATGTGCTTTTTTTAGGGTTGAACAACTACTTTATACTTAGGATCTATAATCAAAATAGCACTTTTAAGTTCATTAACACTTCTCATATTGCCACATTTGATCATGTTACTGTATTCGAATGATGAGAGATCGCCCAACTGCCTCTGTTTCATCTTTTGTAATTTGATTAGGAGGGAAAAAAGGTAAATAAGCTAAAGGATACTATTTTGGAAGAGTCTAAAGGTGAGAAAAATAACCTTAAAAAGTTAGTTTCAATCAACAGAACTGACTATAAGGGATATATATGGAAGTACTGAAATAAGCTTTTGATAAGAATATCAGCACTGAAGTCACCAGCCTCGAAGGGTCAAAGACTTTTATGAAACAACTTCAACTGCTTAAATGCACATCGGGCATTTTACCAATGCCTACAAGAGAAATTCAGCGTTGTTTAGTTTCTAGAGAACTGTTTTTAATTTTCAATTTCTAAATCCATATATGGTTTTTTACAAAAAGGTAGTAAACTAAAAATACGATTTGGAGAATGATAGTAAAAATATGACATGGTTCACAAAAAAATTTTTGTTCTTTTCAATCTCATGCTATATTTTCCAAATCTTGTTTCCATTTTTTATAAACTACTTGATGTTTGGTACAAAACAAAATGTCAATTTGAAAAATAAAAGACTTCGATAAGTAAACATGATTCTTCTTTGAATAAACAACGAAACAGGATCTTGGCATTTCAAACAGCAAATCTTTCTAGCGCACATATCAAAGTTTTGTTGATTTAAGCCAGAGCAAGAATTTAAAGTCACTCTCACTTAAAAGTCATGCCCCCAAATACATTACTACCAAAGGTTAACAAGATGCAAGATGCAAATCACAATTAAAAGCATATAACGGAAATTGTCGGGGTAAGATGGTCTATAAAGAGAATCGAATCAGCTATATCAGTTTGCTACCAAACATTAATTAAGGGCAAGAGATCAAATTTCCTAGATCAATCTGCCAACAAAATACTAAATCTATTAGGTAGATATTAAATTAATGTAGGCAAAGATCTGAGAGAAGTGACTCCTCCACATGTATCCCATCTTTGACGAAAGAAACCTAAAGAAAACAAATAGGCCGATAAACAAAGAATATGTGCTTAATTACCGTAAGTTTTGACCCGTCTGGCTGGCGTTCAGTGACCAATTCCCAGCGCTCAGGGATTGGAGCTGATTTCTTTCGACCTGCCATACCAGACAATGGTAATTTTCTTCACTGCGGCGAAGATGTTTAGACCTAGGTTTTGTTAATAACAAACGTGTATAAAGGAAATGCATAAAGAAAACAACGCCCCTATGGCCACGTGTTCGAATAACCACCAAATGTCACAATTATATACCTTAAACGTGCCAAAAAGGTTGACGAATTCATTCCTCCTACCTCAAAGTATTTTTTTATATATATTTTAATTTTTCTGAGACAATGGTAGAGTAGAGAAATAATTTTTTTTTTAAAACAAGTATAATTTGGCAAGATGATAGAGGCAGCTCAGCTTTCCCATGAGTAGCTCATTAGCCTTCCCAGAAAAAATTACTGAGTACAGTTTAATTTAAATCCTTATTATGATGGACTATACAAGCAAATATGGGAAATTGGTAAATTGAAGGGCAAGAACAAAGAACCAAACTGGAAAACCCAAACTAATTCACCCACAAAAATATTTAAGACTACCATTTAATACTATTATTTATTTCAGGCAATATCAACCCTTTTAGGCATGTCATCCTCTTATTACGCCTTCTTAGAACAATATACCTGACGTTCTCATCTTTGGAGAGAAGAGAATAGGCAGGATAAATTGACAATTTTTCTTTTCTTTTTTCAATCATATAATTGACCTTCAAAGAAATGCAAATCTTTAACTCAATTGGTAGTGACCCCTTTGGCTATAGGGAACTACGACACTCATTCGCAGAGTTAATCAATTAAACCAGATATGCTTTTAAATTAAATTAGTCATTCCCTAACAGTCAAGAGAACTTGTCAGCTAATCAGTCATCTTGATGTTCCTGGAGACTGGCACACAGAAGAAACAGAACACGAAAGCCCATCCACAAATAAACACTGACACATATGTAATCATAAGGGTCTTTTTCTTTTGAGTAGAGAACAAAGAAGTTTATAAAGGCCGGGTACAAGTTATAATGAGAAACCTTTTGCATAGACATAATATGCCATTGACAAAAAGGTAATAGACCTAAAGACATAGAAGCCACACTACATTGAACTCTTTGAAATGTATAATCATTCACCCATCTGTCCCGATTGTATATTATTGAAAGCCATTTCGAATATTAAAAAATTGCTTATGGTAAGTGATACATTTATCAGTTTATCAAAG